GCTACTGCTACTGCTACTGCTACTGCTACTGCTACTGCTACTCCTACTACTACTACTACTACTGCTACTGCTACTGCCACTGCGACTGCTACTGCTACTGCTACTGCTACTGCTACTACTACTACTACGACGACGACGACTATTACTATTACTATTACTATTACTATTACTATTGCTATTACTATTACTATTACTACTACTATTACTATTACTATTACTATTACTATTACTATTACTATTACTATTACTATTAATACTACTACTACTACTGCTACTATTAATACTACTACTACTACTGCTACTATTAATACTACTACTACTACTATTACTACTACTACTACTACTACTACTACTATTACTACTACTACTACTACTACTACTACTACGACTACGACTACGACTACTACTACTACTTTCCATGTCCATCTACTGGCTATACTATCGTGATATGGCTGGGCCCGGAGTGCAATGGTGGCATTGCGCATTGTGCGATCTACTCTGCCAAAAAGGCTTGATGTGCATAAAAGATTACAAGAGTGACATTCGCACTCGGTGAAAAACCGCGACCCGGTAAATCTGGTGGTCGCGAATACTATTTAGTATTCCGAGCAATTGACTTTCCTTTTGATCTGGGGGTCAGTACTTGGTTTGTGGCTGCAACGATGAAGCAGAAGAAGAAGAACATGAAGAACAACAACAAGAGTTTTACATTGCAACACAAGAAAAACTAAAAACAACAACCACAACAACAACAACAACAACAACTACTACTACTACTACTACTACTACTACTAGTACTATTACTACTACTACTACTGCTGCTACTACTACTACTACTGCTACTACTACTACTACTATTATTACTACTACTACTACTCCTACTCCTACTCCTACTGCTACTGCTACTGCTACTGCTACTGCTACTGCTACTCCTACTACTACTACTACTGCTACTGCTACTGCCACTGCTACTGCTACTGCTACTGCTACTGCTACTACTACTACGACGACGACGACGACTATTACTATTACTATTACTATTGCTATTACTATTACTATTACTACTACTATTACTATTACTATTACTATTACTATTACTATTAATACTACTACTACTACTGCTACTATTAATACTACTACTACTACTGCTACTATTAATACTACTACTACTACTACTATTACTACTACTACTATTACTACTACTACTACTACGACTACGACTACGACTACGACTACGACGACTACTACTACTACTACTACTTTCCATGTCCATCTACTGGCTATACTATCGTGATATGGCTGGGCCCGGAGTGCAATGGTGGCATTGCGCATTGTGCGATCTACTCTGCCAAAAAGGCTTGATGTGCATAAAAGATTACAAGAGTGACATTCGCACTCGGTGAAAAACCGCGACCCGGTAAATCTGGTGGTCGCGAATACTATTTAGTATTCCGAGCAATTGACTTTCCTTTTGATCTGGGGGTCAGTACTTGGTTTGTGGCTGCAACGATGAAGCAGAAGAAGAAGAACATGAAGAACAACAACAAGAGTTTTACATTGCAACACAAGAAAAACTAAAAACTAAAAACAACAACAACAACAACAACTACTACTACTACTACTAGTACTATTACTACTACTACTACTGCTACTACTACTACTGCTGCTACTACTACTACTACTGCTACTACTACTACTACTACTAGTACTATCCATGTCCATCTACTGGCTATACTATCGTGATATGGCTGGGCCCGGAGTGCAATGGTGGCATTGCGCATTGTGCGATCTGCTCTGCCAAAAAGGCTTGATGTGACCCGCCGTAGGAGAAGAAGAAGAACAAGAGTTTTTCATTGCAACACAAGAAAAACCAAAAACAAGAGTCGCACTGTTCCGCTCTGCGGGGGGAGGCGCTGCGCCCTCCCCCCGCGCCCCCTACCCGCCGTATTTTTGTTAAAGCCGCTCTCAATTGTAACATCAGCCCCCGCGCCCCGCCCATCGCCGGTTTGCATGACAACAACGAGAACAAGAACAAGAACAAGAACAAGAACAAGAACAACAACAAGAAGAAGAACAACAACAACAAGAGTTTTACATTGCAACACGAGAGAAACCAAAAACAAGAGTCGCACAGTTCCGCTCTGCGGGGGAGGCGGTGCGCCCCCCCCGCGCCCCCCACCCGCCGTATTTTTGTTAGAGCCGCTCTCACCTTGCGAGCTCATTGCACAGCAGAGCACCACCAACACCACAACTACCCTGAAGCAGCACGTCGCCGTCGTCGTCAACTACCCTGAAGCAGCACGTCGTCGTCGTCGTCGTCGTCGTCGTCGCCGCCCGTCGCGCACACTCGTCCCTCGTGTGCGCACCGGCCGCCTCGACTCCTCCTCCTCCTCCTCCTCCTCCTTCCTCTCACCGGCCACTGTCGCAAAAAACACCGATCACTGGCGCAAAAAACACCATTATTGGGGCACCGTCGCAACTACCGGTCAAAAAAACACCGATCAACATAACCGTCTGGAAATACACCGGTTACCGTCGCAAAAAACACCAGTCCCAAGCCTTTGCGACGATCATGGCATATGTTCGCCCAAAAAACCTTGCTCTGCAAGCATCAAGTTCAAATGCTTTCATATGCACACCATGCATATGCCAATGGTCAAACAATCAGCTCATGCAAACAGCGATGTAGGTTTCCAATGGTTTCCGTTTCAAAGACTTTTCAAAACATCAATCGGACTCATGGAAAGCTCCATCTGTAATATTTTGTTTACCCGGCAGCTGGCTCAAAGCAATAACTCAATGACTATGAAAGTTCCTTCCGCAAAGTGTTGCTGTGTGTCCTTTTTGGCCATGGAGGCAAGGTCAGTTCGACTACTTTGTGCAACTTCAAGGTGGTGTGAGATGAAAAACCATGCTGCAATTGCAGTTCATGGTGCGCGGGATTTGGATGGATTTGGCTACATGATTTGATACAGGATGCATCAGCATGCAGCTGGGAAAGGCCTCTCACTTTGAGAGAATGGCCAACGCCTTTTCTCCCATGAGGTCGCCCATCTTCTTTGCCTCTGCCTTGTCTTCCTCTGAGATGTCATCCCAGCAGGCGTTGGGGGTGTCGTCCTTGCAGTAGGCAGCCAAGCAACGGGAGATCCCCACGCAGGAGCAATTGAACTCGCCCACAATCCACTTCTCATCCTCAGCCTTGGTTCCGGGAGGCGAGGCGTTGATGAAGTCAGTGGTCCACCAAAGTGGCAACGGCTCCTCTGCCAAGTCCAGGGAAGGCATCACATGGGGCAAGTCTTTCTTCAAGAAGTTCTCGGTCAAACTTGCGAAAAGTGGCTCCTCTGGTCCGTAGAAGGTGTAGATGGAACCAGTTCCACCAACGGCAGAGATTCCTCCCTCCTTGGGCTTCTTGTGAATGACTCCAATCAAAGAATCACCGATGAGATTGTAGCGCAGTTCGCCTTCCACAATACGTGGGCAAAAGCGCTGATCCACAAGCTGGCCACCTGCCTCCTTGCCACCCTCCAAGTACTTGCCGACACCTTTGGAGGTCCACTCACCTGACTTGTCCGTACGGCCATGAACACAGAATTCAACAAACTCGGCCACCGTGTGCTCTTCCTCATGGTTGTCATTGGCCTCCATGAGGACCAGCTTCTCACCATCCTCACAGGACCTCTCGCCGTGCAGTAATTCTCATCTTTCAATTTGATGATCCAAATGCCCTCGCCAGATGAGCCACGATTCTGCTTGATGACACGTGGCTGGAACGCCATGGTCTTCTTGAAGCCAGCGGAGAACTCCTCAGGGCTGTAGTAGGCCAGAGTGTCTGGGAGACCAATGTTCATGGTAGCCACCTTGCACAAGGCATCCTTGGCTCCCATCTTCTCCATGACATCAGGGGATGGCCAAACCTGCTTGCCCATCTTCCTCAAAGCACGCATGCCATCATCAAACTTCTGTTGGTCACCGCCGTCTGCCTTGATCTGGCCTGGATTGCATCGCACGATGACAAAGTCGAAGCTTTTGCAAAGCTCGAAAAACTTGTCGTGCTCCTCGTGTGTGTAGTGAATCAGCTGGCAACTCATTCCAGCGCTGATCATGCCATTCACGATCGGGATGGAATCGTAGCGGTGGCCATTGTTGCTCTTATCGGAACCTCCATAGGGTTGGCTTCGGACATAGATCTGGGCCAACGCACCCTTGAACTTTGGCGCGCTTGGTTGATCCAGCATGCCCTTGTAGTCCTTGGCAACCACAGTGATGCTGCTGCAATCCACAGGGCCAGGGCACGGCATACCGCCTGTCCCCATGCAGGCACGGATTTTGGAAAGTTGATCTGGCGGCAATTCCTTGAGAGCTGCCGCGATTTCCTCTGGGGACTTGCCCTCAATCAAGCTCTTGTGCTCGGTAGATGCACCAGCACCCATGGTTGCAGGAGGCAATCAGGAGCTTAGCTCGTGAAACAGAGGCTCTCGTTTGTTTCAAAATTGCTGCAACGAAACATCAGGATACGTTATCGGCATTGCTCTCTCTCTCTCTCTCTCTCTGCGCGTTTCAAGCTATCGGCATTGAGGTTACCGGCCAGAAGAACAAGCTGTCTGACTCAGAAGTTTGCATTATTTGCAATGCAATATCTTAGGCTAAGAATCTTAGATGCGGCTGCACAACATAAGCGACGTGCACTCAATGTTTCAAACTCAGTGGAAAGCCTTTGCGACGATCATGTCAATGTGTTCGCCCAAAAAACCTTGCTCTGCAAACATCGAGTTCAAATGCTTTCATATGCACACCATGCATATGCCAATGGTCAAACAATCAGCTCATGCAAACAGCGATGTAGGTTTCCAATGGTTTCCGTTTCAAAGACTTTTCAAAACATCAATCGGACTCATGGAAAGCTCCATCTGTAATATTTTGTTTACCCGGCAGCTGGCTCAAAGCAATAACTCAATGACTATGAAAGTTCCTTCCGCAAAGTGTTGCTGTGTGTCCTTTTTGGCCATGGAGGCAAGGTCAGTTCGACTACTTTGTGCAACTTCAAGGTGGTGTGAGATGAAAAACCATGCTGCAATTGCAGTTCATGGTGCGCGGGATTTGGATGGATTTGGCTACATGATTTGATACAGGATGCATCAGCATGCAGCTGGGAAAGGCCTCTCACTTTGAGAGAATGGCCAACGCCTTTTCTCCCATGAGGTCGCCCATCTTCTTTGCCTCTGCCTTGTCTTCCTCTGAGATGTCATCCCAGCAGGCGTTGGGGGTGTCGTCCTTGCAGTAGGCAGCCAAGCAACGGGAGATCCCCACGCAGGAGCAATTGAACTCGCCCACAATCCACTTCTCATCCTCAGCCTTGGTTCCGGGAGGCGAGGCGTTGATGAAGTCAGTGGTCCACCAAAGTGGCAACGGCTCCTCTGCCAAGTCCAGGGAAGGCATCACATGGGGCAAGTCTTTCTTCAAGAAGTTCTCGGTCAAACTTGCGAAAAGTGGCTCCTCTGGTCCGTAGAAGGTGTAGATGGAACCAGTTCCACCAACGGCAGAGATTCCTCCCTCCTTGGGCTTCTTGTGAATGACTCCAATCAAAGAATCACCGATGAGATTGTAGCGCAGTTCGCCTTCCACAATACGTGGGCAAAAGCGCTGATCCACAAGCTGGCCACCTGCCTCCTTGCCACCCTCCAAGTACTTGCCGACACCTTTGGAGGTCCACTCACCTGACTTGTCCGTACGGCCATGAACACAGAATTCAACAAACTCGGCCACCGTGTGCTCTTCCTCATGGTTGTCATTGGCCTCCATGAGGACCAGCTTCTCACCATCCTCACAGGACCTCTCGCCGTACTCCTTGCAGTAGTTCTCATCTTTCAATTTGATGATCCAAATGCCCTCGCCAGATGAGCCACGATTCTGCTTGATGACACGTGGCTGGAACGCCATGGTCTTCTTGAAGCCAGCTGAGAACTCCTCAGGGCTGTAGTAGGCCAGAGTGTCTGGGAGACCAATGTTCATGGTAGCCACCTTGCACAAGGCATCCTTGGCTCCCATCTTCTCCATGACATCAGGGGATGGCCAAACCTGCTTGCCCATCTTCCTCAAAGCACGCATGCCATCATCAAACTTCTGTTGGTCACCGCCGTCTGCCTTGATCTGGCCTGGATTGCATCGCACGATGACAAAGTCGAAGCTTTTGCAAAGCTCGAAAAACTTGTCGTGCTCCTCGTGTGTGTAGTGAATCAGCTGGCAACTCATTCCAGCGCTGATCATGCCATTCACGATCGGGATGGAATCGTAGCGGTGGCCATTGTTGCTCTTATCGGAACCTCCATAGGGTTGGCTTCGGACATAGATCTGGGCCAACGCACCCTTAAACTTTGGCGCGCTTGGTTGATCCAGCATGCCCTTGTAGTCCTTGGCAACCACGGTGATGCTACTGCAATCCACAGGGCCTGGGCATGGCGAATTTTTGTCCACTGCGGCCCAAATCTTGGAAAGCTGATCTGGCGGCAATTCCTTGAGAGCTGCCGCGATTTCCTCTGGGGACTTGCCCTCAATCAAGCTCTTGTGCTCAGTAGATGCACCACCACCCATGGTTGCAGAAGGCAATTCAGGAGCTTTGCTCGTCAACAGGAGGCTCTTCACTTCAAAGCGCTCTGAACCAAGTGACGGGAACAAGAAAAACTCAATTCCTCCCGTTCACAACGGAATCTGGGAGCCTCAGTTTCCTCAGTTTAAGTTAAAAGAAACATATTGCCTTTGACCGCCTTTGATCTTTGTGGCGTCTTTGCTACAACAAGTACACAAAGGTAGTTGCACCTTGCCATAGAAATGTTGCTTGCGCTGTCCTGCTGCGATCACCAGAATCATACCAGGGTTTCTAAGAGCGGGACAGGGTCGGGAAAGGCTGCCAAAGAAATGGAATGCATGGGTCAAAACATGGGCTCAAGCATCGGTTTCCTCAGAAAAATGGAATTGAACAGACCATGACACTGAATGTTTTTTTTTTTGTCTCTCGTCTTCAATGTTTGGAAACCCATATGTTTCATGTTTGTAATGTATGTTCCCAAGTTGCATCCATGCTCTAACTCGTCACAGTTGCATCCCAATATCTTGTTTGATCCTGGCTCTCAGAGGCTCAAGCAAAGCCGAGGTGCTGTGAACCTCCCACTGTCAGACGGTGCGCATTGAAGCGGCTGTGGATCCAAACTTGGGACTTCAGCACTGACATGTCGTGACCCATAACCAACATGACTGCGCCGGCGGGTCAATTTTTTTCTGCCAGAAACCTCAAGCTACATGCCCACATTTGTGGGTGTCAAATGGCGCCGGTTCTGCGTGAATCCGAAATCAATCACAAAACTACTGCGCAAATCATGAGATCTTAAAATCTAACTATGTCACAATGGAGCTCTCCGAAAATCTGACGTCTGACATTTTGTGTATTTTGGAAAGTGTTGCTGATCTAAAAGGATACTAATGGCCAATGGGGGATGACCTTCATCTTTCCAGAAGGATGGCTGGCCCTCAGAAAAGTAGTTCCAACATGGCCAACTTTTCCGGATGAACCTGTGCCCGACCGACAAAGGGCAACATTTGAGCCCGCATTGCCTGGAAAATCATGGTAACATATGGAAAAATTAAGGGTTTGGATCGCTACCAGCATCATCTGTATATCTGGGTAAATTAACGCCATTTTCAGTAACCTGAATTAACGCCATTTTGGGGATGATTCCTCCTATCAACCATGATTCCACTGAGGTGGCAGTGAGGTCGTTATAATTTACCAGGTATATTAATTACTGAACAACAGGGGAGGCACATTCAAACTGGTTGGTTCACAGAATCAAATACATTCACATATGCACGATTGACCGCACCCTCTTGTAAGGGGAACTGTTGTCAATCCATATGGCAACATGTTTCCGAACAATTTTTTCACAGTTCGAGTGGCACGTGGTTGGCAGGCGAAAGGCGCACCATACCTACCTCAGAGAACAACACTGAGCCAACCGCAGAAGTGGACAATGAATTTCGCATAATTTTGCCACATATTTTGCCACAAAATTGGGTCATTCTGACCATGTTCAAGATCAACTGTCCAAATTTCACAGTTGAATGTGATTCATGGGCCCATTTTCAAACATCGGGAGCCAGGCGCAAAGGTTATATATTGGTTCCACCCACATCACCCTTCGACAATTTTGCGGCGACGTCCGGAACCATTTTTGTAGCACACACGTAAAAATAAACAAATAAATGCACACACACACGTATATATATTTACATATATTTATATATATATACACACATATATATATAGATACATATAGATATATATATAGATATATATATATATAGATATATATAGATATATATATATATATATAGATATATATAGATATATATAGATATATATAGATATATATATATATATATAGATATATATATATAGATATATATATATATATACATATGGGAAGCATCTGTGTGCAGCCCAAGTACTAACCACTGATAATTGAACATAAACTGTGAAGGTCACCATGTCTACAACGCAAAAAAAAATACATGTGCAAGCTTCCAGAAGAGTAACCATTGATTTGAAAATTTCATGTTTTGTTCCGATAGGTTTCGGTCCAGTTGCCGATGCGACGTCCGATGTCTCCAATGGTGTTGGTCGTCCCGAAGACCTTTTTGCGCCGTGCCAGTGTTGTAAGAAAGGCGATTTCCTTTCCCGTGAGGATATGTAGAAGCAACAACAACATATCCAAATGCACAAATTATACCACTATAATATACTATAATCAACTATATGTATATATAGTGCCGCTGCAGGCCCTCTGAAGAGTAGTTTGTTGTCCTGCATCTACCAACGGAAAACACATTTTGGAAACATAGCAATATCCGCAACAAAAGAGTTAGGAAACACGCTTCGCAATTGGATCTGGATTTTTGACCCACAACAAAACATCAGCATGTCTAAAACTAAGAGGCTGCATGCAGGATTCTGTGTTCCATCAGAGCAAAAGCGCGCAAATTGTTTCCAAGGAGGACAAGCAAAATCACTAAAAGACATCCTTGAGTTTTTGTTTCTTGCCAGTCCGGACGGCTGAGATGATTGGGTCATGCCGCCTGGGTGTTTTGGCAACCAGTTCCACGTCTGTGAAGCAGGCGTCCTGGAAGACTTGTTGTTCAACGTTTTCATAACTGAGGTTCCGTGGAATTTCTTCCAGTTTCCATGTGCAAACGATGGGCGTCATGCGGGCATCAGTTACAGCCACTCCGATGGCCACTTGCTTGTTGCCCAGCGTGAGACCATTTCTGTTTGCTTCTGTTCTGGCTTTCTGTACATATGCAAGTGCATCTTCTCCCGGTTCCATCAGGATCCAGAGATTGGCAGGTGTCTCTTCACCCAAACTTGACCAATGGGTGGGTTCGATGAACCAGGGGACTTCTCCAAATGAATCGCCACTAAGAGAATTGATTTGCTTGGCGACATCCTTGGGCATTCTGACTCGGCCCCGGATGACATGTTCGTCTTGCAATTCCACGTCACGGATCTGTTTCAAGAGTTTGTGGTCTGTGCGTGCTAGCCACTCTCGCAAAGGCACAACCTGGGTTTTGTCTGCCAGCTTGTTTCCATGCGTCTGGACGAAAAAATGGCACGGAGTACAAGTGTATCTGCTTGAGGTTCTTTCACTTCTGGTTTCTTGGCGACAACAAATTTGGCATTTGGCTGCAAAGTCAAAGGTTTGTTGTCCTTCGGGTGCACGTTCAATGACATGAACCTGTTTCAGCTTCAACTGGGATGCTACAAAACCTGGCAAAAGATTTTGGACATGCTCTTCTGTTCTGCAAGGAAATCACCGTTGTCAGTTTCACTATTTCCGGTGAAAATAGAAGGGGTTCAGAATATTTTTTGTTGTTTGTTTTTTGGGCTCAGGTTTTCGATTTTTGTTTGGCTTTCTTTCCTGGTAACATCTGCCTTGTATTTGCAACAGTTTGGAACTAGAATTAGAATCCGCCATTTTGCATGGTATTTGCTACATTTTGGCATGGTTACTTTGCATTTTGCATGGTATTTGCTACATTTGGCCATGTCCGCCTTCCATTTTACATCGTATTTGCTACATTTTGGTACTTCAAACGTTCATGTGGGTGTCTTGAAAGTTTCTTTAGGGTGCCATTTAGGGTTTCATTTAGGGTTTCGTGTGATGTTGGTAACGCGATGCAAGGCCTGAAAAAAAAAGACCTGTGCACCGCCTATGTCTTACTTAGAGCCTATGGGATTCCAAGGCTCTGGCGCGGACTGTGGCCAGGTGATCACTCACAGGCAAAGCTCGTTGCATCGAATCATCGGGTGCTGACCAACCTAAGCGGCGCTGCATGGGGTTGGTAGGGAGTGGGGAAGGCCTAGTGCTAGCAAAGTGAGTACACTGCCATGCGACGTGATGCCAATCGGCCACCTCTAATTCTGAACAAAAAGGACACTGCTGATCCTGTGCGAGATCTCTAAAAATTTTGTACATGGCTGGGCTATTGGCGGCCCCAGTCAAAACTGCTTTTACATGTCTGTTACCGGCTTGGTATATGCTCTGTGTCTGCTTAAGTGCATGTTCACTATAGTGTGCATTATGTATGAGGCACTGACTATCTCTACGGTTCTGGTGCAGGAAAAGATCAAACTGGGTCCGTCGCCAGCTTTCGCGAAGGGCGTGGTCCCAAGTGAATTTTCTGTTTTCCCCCCAGTTCATTTCTCCACACGTTTCATGTACCCAATGCCACGGGCCAGCAATGGACCATCCCAAGTTGCTCAACCATTCACGGACTTCACCTTGCCAATGGCCTAGGGGGGCCTCCGGCTTCCAGGGAAGTTGCAAAAACTGATAACACCTCCAAAGGACTTTTAGTGCATGGAAACCTGCCATGAACTGCGGGTTCATGAAATGGCCTTCCAACACAAATGTCAAGGCTGTGGACGCCATGTGCTGGGTCCGGAAAGCAAACTTAAAAGCACGTCTGAAACTGTTAGACATGTCACTGCGAGGGAGTCTCAGCCCCATTCCCCAAACAGCGCGAGGAATGATGCGAGTCCGCCACAAGAGTCTACATCTATGTTTACTGCATGGTAGTGATCGTAATCTACTAGCACTGGCTAAGCATGTTTGATGACGCTTGACTGTGGCTGGTCGGTTTGCCTGGTTGGCACGAGCCGTGAAGTCCACGCCGAGCACACGGCAGTGGGTCACCAAGGATTGCTGAGGCACTTGCAAGTCCTGCAGGGCACGAGCGTGCTGAGGCTTGAGGGCTACAATCTGCAACTTGGCGGCGCTATCCATCATCTTATATCTATCAGCCCAGGTTTCCCAAAATTGTAATAATATGGGGACATCCTGGGGGCGGTTTACACACGTAACCCTATCATCCAAAAACCCGGAGGTGATGGTGCCAGGTAACACTGTTTCTAGTTGACATAAAGGGGCTGCCATCATGACGATCAGTGCAAGAGGGCTGAGTGCGTCGCCCTGCGGCAGTGATCTAGTTACAATGCATGGTGCTTCGGCAGTGGCCGAACCGTAGGTTATCCACCGATGCTGTTGAGTCCAAACCTTTGAAATCAAACGGGCCCATAGCGGCGGAAAACCTGCTTGTTGCATTATGGCAAGAGCCATTTCAGGTGAAATGGTGTCAAAACACTTTTCGAAATCCTGGGAAACGATGATGCCTTTTTGTGAGCGCCATCTGTTTTCAAGTGCTAGAATGCCATGGAAAGCTTCACGGCCTGCAATGCCACCATGGGAGCTGGGTGGCGCTATGGTCTGAATCCATTCCCGAACTTCGGGGGTTTTGGCAATTGAGCTGGTTACTAGTCTCCACCAAATGGACATGATGGAAATAGGTCGAAGTTTACTGGGATCCGATGGAGAATTATCTTTAGGATTATCCTTTAGATGTATCTGCCTGATGTGCAACCAAGCTGTTGGAACTTCACCGCGCTGCAGCCACCTGTGGATCAACGTGGAAAAGATTTCCCATACAGGTTCTGGTAACATGCAAAGGTCGTCCCCGTGAAAGCCATCCAACCCTGCAGCTGAACCCTGCAGTTTTCTGGCTTGGGTGTGGAGAAGCTTACCTGTGAGAGGCGGGATCTGAAGTGAGGCGGGGGAGCCACAAGCTTGGGACCAAGCGTGAGTGATTTCAACCAAGTTTTGTGGTTCAGGTCTGTTCCAATATTTTTCCCAAAATGTTTGAATGGCTTGTAGACTTTCTTGGTAAGTCCTGGATTTCACCCCTTCTGGGTTATTTTCTGTAGGCTGACTGACCCATATCTCGGGTGGCAGTGGGGTCTGCTGGTTAAGCAACCACTGGGTGGTGGCTTGATTATTTGTGTTCATTCGGTGTCTCCAATTCCTAAGGCGTGCTTTACCTAGGAGGCTAAGTTCGGCCGCAAGTTCCTGTTCGACTAAGCTTTCGGTTTCTTGTATGTTTGGGGAAGTTGGAATGCCTGCGGGCCAGGCTTTCTGAATTCTTTTCCAAAGTGAAGCTGTAGGGTGATTCTTGTTTTGTTGGCGTTGCCATTCCCGAAGTCTACCTAAGAATTTTGCCAACCTACGGCTACGGAAGCTGGTGTGGGAAGGCTTCTTAGCGTTCATTGGGATTGCCTGGGGCACACTGCCTATGGCACGAGAGCTAGGTTCGCACTCATGGTTTGGACAAGCTTGTTGCCACTTTTGGGTGAGAAGTGCACAAATGGTGTTCCATTCGGTTTCTGTGTTGGAGATGGGAGGGCATTGGATGTCCTTGAAAACGTTCTGCAATGTTTTTCTCCACTGTTGGGTCGACAAGTGCTGTGGACGATGAAACCGGGTTACTGGTCTAATGGTTGTCGGGTTCTTACCAACCTGGGGAAGGTTAATTCGAAGTTTATAGATTAATCTTGTGGTCTTCTAAGGCATGGGAATCGAGTTCTGGGGAACTGCCCAAGTTGGTTTGGGAAGTTACTGCGTAGTCTACTGCACGTTTGGCGTGCCACCGGGTAGGGATTGGGGTACCTTCATGGTCCACGACCGGAAGAAGGGTTCCTAAACCGATGGCTTCATTATCTTCAGGAGTCCAGTTCCAGTCACCTAAACCGATCCAAGGCAAAGGGTGGTAGGACATGCGATGTTCTGTTAGTGTTTGGACGAAACTTTCACTTTCATTCTGAGGTCTACGCCAAACACAAGTGATGCACATGTTCTCGAGTAGGATTGTGAGCAACTGGCCTTCGTCACCTGTCCATTCGGAAACGAACTGCGCTGCAATGTCCTGCCGGACGGCGACTGCCAGGCCTCCAAAATGCACGTCATGGCCGAGCGAATTGGTTCTTTCATTGACTCTGGATGTCCAAGCTCTGTAACCCTGTTTTTGGAAGAGACCAAGCCAGGATTTACGCTGAGTTCTGTCGAAGTTAGTCTCCTGGAGACACACTATGGCTGGTTTCTTGATGGCCAAGACTGGAAGAAGCTCAAAAGCATGAGTGGCCCCATTGACATTTATTGACCAACATTTATAATGCTTTTGCTTTGAAGTCTCATCTGGGGAATGATTGTGGCAAGGTTCTGGTATATCACTGGATGATGCTGATTCGGAATCTGAAGCAATGTGCACTGCAGCATGTTCACTGACCTCCGGCTGAGGTCCTGGGTGG